CTGCTGGGCTCAGGTGATCCTTCCACCTCAGCCTTCCAAGTAGGTGGAACTACAGGCACACGCTACCACACCTGGCTAATTTTTTGATGTATTGTAGAGATGGAGTCTCACCAAGTTGCCCAGGCTGGTCTCGAACCCATGGGCTCAGGCAGTACTCTCACCTTGGCCTCCCAAAGTGCTGGGATTATAGGCATGAGCCACTGTGCCCGGCCTGAAAAGGAGTTTCTTAATGGTATGGGGGTTAGAGGAGCAGCTGCTGTCCCTCTGGTTCCCTGCTCTGGCAGCTGACATGGTGTTTCACCTCCCTTCTTTGACCTCTGCTGAGTTCCTGCCCTGGTCCCTGGTGGTCCTCATTGAAATGTTCAAAGCCTTCAAGGGTGACTGGCCTTCCCATGTGCCTTTTCCCCAGGGAAGTACCACTGCCCGGTGCTGTTCACTGTGTTCACCAACAACACCCACATTGTGGCTGTCAGGACGACTGGCAATGTCTATACCCATGAGGTGGGTTCTTACCTTGGGCGGTGGGAACTGTGGTGGGAAGACCTCAGATGTGTGCTCTGGAGATACACTGGGTACTGCGGGATGTGCTGTCCTTGTGGGGTTTACAGGCACAGGTGCAGGGCATCCAAAGCTCTGGTGAGGCAGCCTTCCTGTTTTCAGATAGGTCAAGAAAAGTGGAAGTGTGGGAGTAGGGTGGTGTTTCCCATGGCTTGGACCTGGTATTCAGGTTGTCCTGACTGATCAGGGGGCCCTTATCCCCCAGAGGGTCCTCTCATGTCTTCTCCAGCAAAGACCGGGCCCTTGGAGGGCACCTGTGCTCTGAGGACAGCCTCTAGAGCTGCCAGGGGAGTGCTAGCCCACTGTCCCCATCAGGAGTGGGTCTCAGGCTGAGGGGATGGGTTCTGACCAGGAGTGGGTGTAGGGAGGGAGGGAAGAGGCAGCAGTGTCCACATGTATATCGCTCAGGGATGGAGACAGACCCCACATCACAGGATGCCCATGTCTGTGCCATTTTCATTGTTGTACCTGCACATTTGCAGGGTCCAGGGCCAGTGCTGCTCCAGGGATTCTGGGGGCCACTTCTTACCAGAAGCCTGCACAGACTGTGTGGTCAGCCCTTGTGGGTAGAGCGAGAGTACAGCTAGACTGTGCCTCATGAGGGCAGGCTTCTCATGTGCTCATGCCCTGTTTTCCCAGGTCTAGCATTGTGCATGGCACACAGGAAGTACTCAGTGAAGGTGGGTGTGAGGGTGGGAGCTCACTGAGCCTGTGTGCTGGCCTGTGCTAGGCACAGGTTGCCTTTGTGGGGGCTGCTGCTGTAAGCCTGTGGTGTGCACACATAGTCTTCATCCATTCCTCCCCTCACAATGGTGCCAAGCTTGGGGTGGCTCCAGGCACCCCTGCTTGAGGCCATGTGTCAAGGTTTGGGGCAGGCACCGAACACTACTTCCCTCCTGGCTGCAGGCAGTGGAGCAGCTAAACATCAAGGCCAAGAACTTCCGGGACCTGCTGACTGATGAGCCCTTCTCCCGGCAGGATATCATCACTCTCCAGGTGAGTGTCCCTACTCACCAGGAAGGGACCCCCCCAAACCTCCATGTAGCTCCCCTGCCTACTCTGCTCCCCATGCTGGGCTCGGTGATATCTTCTCTGGCCACCCTGCCTGGTTGTGGCTCCTTGCTGCCCTCAGCCCACCCAATAGCCACTCCAGGCCTTTGCACGAACCGCTCACAACTCCTGATTTCTACCCTCCATGTCAAGACCCGTCATCTCTGTCCCCAAAGTCATCTGGGATATCTGAAAGGCTACTCTGTAGGCCTGACTCTGTGCCAGTGCCTCAAGGGCAGGACTGGTGCATGCTCTGGGCTCCAGTGTCTGGTATTGGTATGTCCTTGCAGGTGTCAGAGAACCTGGAGTGAGTTGATGAAAAACACTGACTTAGAAAAGTTCTAGGCTGTGCATGGTGGCTCATGCCTATAATCCCAGCACTTTGAGAGGCCAAGATGAGAGGATTACCTGAGCCCAGGGGTCCGAGACCAGCCTGGGCAACTTGGTGAGACCGCATCTCTACAATAAATCAAAACTTTAGCCTGGCCGGGCTTAGTGGCTCAGCCTGTAATCCCACGCCTTTGGGAGGCTGAGGTGAGTGGACTGCCTGAGCCTGCGGGTTCGAGAGCTGCCTGGGCAACTTGGTGAGACCTCATCTCTACATAAATCAAAAATTAGCCGGGCGTGGTAGCGCGTGCCTGTAGTTCCAGCTACTTGGAAGGCTGAGGCGGAATGATCGC